TTTCCAAGGCAATAAAGGACTCGCAATATCGGGGTCTTTCCTTAAGTAATGATGCAGTAACTTCATAAAAAAGTTATTAGTAATTCTTTTATTTACTCTTATAGATCTAGTTTTTGTAACTGCTATTTCTCTGAAATATAAAAATGATCCTGTTTTTTGAACTTACCGTCTGATAATTTAAGCTACGACTACATCTATGATTCTTCACCAATCTATTTATTTCGGACAAAAGCTGGTACATCACTCACACACACACACACACACACACACACACACACACACACACACGCACACATATATATATATATGCATATATATGTGTTCAAGTAGATCGTTCTTGAGCTCATATAACTGTCACTGTTGGAGGCGGGGTGAGACTGATGAAACATTTTCGGCTTCATTTAATTTTTTTCCTGTTTGCGCGCCTAATAACATGAAGCGTTAAGACACGATACTCTCGCAGCTGTTCAATACGATTTCAACCGCTGTCGTTAATGTGTAATCTAGGTAACTCGAGTAAGCAATGGACGTTTATGATCATTAAGTTACATTAGCTTCTGTCTATTAATTTCCGATACGCAAGTCTACAGTAAAGACCATTTGGTATAATTCAATTTTAATACGCGTTTAAAATAAAAAAATCATCAGGAAAGGAAGACGAATGAGAGCAAAAAGAAAATCTGATCATGTTTCTGTCACCAAGAAACAAAAAAGGCTCAATATAGAACACTATCTGAATGTTATCTATTTCATGAAGATTGATATTATTTCATAAAAGAGGCAGTGAAAATTAAATGAACTAGACATCAAGTCAAAAAGTGATCAAAATGAACGTTCTGTGCAAATCGCAAGGTATGACTACACCTTCCTATTTATCCAAAGTAATGAATGAAAAGCAGCAACTTTCACAATGTTTGTATTATAGATTCTGAAAATGAAGATAAAAAGGCTTCTTCAAAATATGCGAAGGTATTAAGTAAAATCACTGATGAACAGGATTTATTCTGGTCGCAGTTGCCATCACACACCTTTTAATAATTTCCCGTTATTGGGGCATTCAAATCAGAAGGCATGAGTTACAAATGCTTTATCTGAATATTGCTTATTAACCGTTTTGGTCTGAAAAGATGTTTGTCATATATCGATCCTTTGATCAATTCATCTTTGTAGATTCGTTTCCATCCACTTATGAATGTTATTAGTCAACTCTATTTGCAGGAAATAAACTGGGACACTTATGCAGGTTTAACAATAACATGAGCTATATTTTAATTTTGTAAATACACATTCACTTTTCACAAAGTATTGCTTTTATTCACATTTACATCAAACGCGTAAGTAATGCATTGCATCTCTCAGTTCTTAACACACACACACAAAAAAAAAAAAAAAAAAAAAAAAAAAAAAAGAAGAAAAAATTCCACTCTTGGAATACAGCCAAACTAATTTCAAATTTTTTCTCACGAGCATGCCGTCCTTCTCGCATCAAGCACGTTTCTTCTTCTCGTTGTCAGATTTTCTCCTCTCTTCTTTCAGCTATACGTCGTTGGCTTAACTGTTCTTCCGGCAGGCTTGGTCGGTAGCATCCCCTTACCGAGTATTTGCATGACAATTTTAATGCAGAGAAAATAGATTAGATTTTTAAGATTTAACTAATCTTAGATATTGAATGAATTTATTCTACTTGTCTCTGCAATTTAAATAAAAATATATAAAAATGTACACTATAAGTAACCAGGGATAAACACTCCTCTGTGAGATAGAAACTTTTATTACCTATCCCCTTAGGGAACTACATTACATACAAGGAATATTACAATATATCAAAAATTAAGTCCTATTATTTTGCCGCATGATAAACACATAATCATGATCTTACTACTTATCATCCTAAGCCAATTTTAACTGAATTTCTAAACAACTGCCACCTACCACATCAGAATTTTTATCGAAAACGTAGGCGAAGCATTGCATGAATTAACGGATGCAATATGAGGGCAGTTCAGCATACAGCACTGTTTAAATTATTTCATTGATTTCGAATTTCATTTTGCTAGTCGTTAATAACGTACTGGAAACTGGACGGCAAATTTGTTCCATTGAGTTAGATTCCTTTAATGTATAGGCCCACCAGCGGCCGAGCGGTAAAGTCGCTGAACTGGTAGTTCGGTCCGAGGTTCGAATCCCGCGAACGGGCTGGCTGCATGGGCGTTTTCGTGGTTTTCCCCATGTGTAACGTGTATACGAGCCAGTTTCCCTTAGAAAGTCCTCCACGAAAGGCATTTCCTCCCCTTAGGCAGATAGCCCTCGTGAGCTTTGCCATAATTAAATACACCACACACCACACCTTTAATGTATATGTAGGTACTGAAACAATTATTAGCATAAATGAACAACCGGCTATGAAGAGCAGGAGGAAAAGTAAAATGAAGACTGCGTCGAAATGACTGGATGAAAAATAACGACCAAGCAATTGTTTAGAACTATCATAATATTTGAAACCTTGAACTGAAGATGATCACAATTTTGAACCTCAGTCGTATTATTCCCCGAAGGGTAAACAGTGCAGTTTGTTGTTATAAAGAAATGTATGGAGAGAAATTTCCAAAACCAAAAAAATGTTCAGACATCGATTATGCTATTCTATAAAAGAGATAGAGAATAAAAAATAGGAATAAAAAAGGAATAAAAAAGGAATTATAAATTAATATAATAAAAAGAATAATTTCTAATAAAGGTGTTTGAATATATTAAAAGCGGTTTATTTATTAGACAATAGGAGAAATTACTTTTAAATCAGTCTTTATTTTATGTATCTATTTATTTCCTAAATTGTCCATTTTCAAGCATTTCGGATACTGATGTAACCGATTACGCGGACTATCCGAGGATACTGCTGTATACACCGCTCAGTTTCTTAGGAAATTTATTTTAGTAATAATTCTGAAATAACACTAAATGATGATTCACCTGAGAAAAGAAATCGGTCATTAGTGATTTTAATATATTTGCGGCATTTCGATTTCATCTGAGCAAAAAAAGGAAAAAATCTCTTTTATTTAAAAGGTTTACTACAAAGTTATGTAACAACCGTGTAACTAATAGAATTTTAAATCGACAAGTCAAAAACATTTGAGTACGCTTTATAAATGTCATGTGTGAAGTATATCATTAATAAGCGAGCAGCTCAAGCTATAGTGAAAAAAGAATTAACCTTTCAACGGTTCAGCATAATTCCTTTTTTTTATCAAACGGCATGTCAGAAAAGAACTCAAGTTTCTTTGATCAAAATCAGATTCATTTATTATGGCAGTCACCTCATCTGCTGGGGTTCGGATCCTTTTATGCAATTATTTACTCTCATTAAGGATGTTTTAGGGGATCAATATTTTGAAATATTTTAGGCTATCAAAATTCCCCTAAGCTGTGATTCACATAACTTGAAATACCTGAAAATATTGGTCGAAATGGCAGAGAGTATACTGTCGATATCAGGCTATAACAGACTGAAATAAGAATTCCCTTAATGTTCCTAGAAATGTAGAAAGCTCAGAGAATGTGTTTGTGTACAGATGGATAGTTTTTCAATTTTGTTTTCAAATAGAATTTGCCTAAAGCAGTTTTTGTGGACTTTGTGAACGAATGAGGATTTTCCTACTTTTCTCGTCTTAATGGCTTAAACATTTACTTATTAAAATATAAATTTCTTTACTATCTGTAGTTTATTGCTTTTGATCATCTCCCCTCTGCACACAAAATGGCTGATATTAAATAGATGCAAAGAGAAAGAAGGAATAATAAACCGTCTTCTAATAGAAACATCCCGTCCTTTATATGGTACCTTTTTCACTATTTCTCCCTTAAGATAAGTGCTTACATCACCTTGAATTGTATGGTGGATAATGAGGGTTGAGACATTACTGTGTTGTTGGGAAATGTTTCGAATTTTTACAAGACACAGATATTTTAGACAATAATGTCTTTTGCGCAACAGGGACATTTAAAATATATTTATTTGAAAGTCATTTCTGGAATTTGGTGGCTAGATTGTTCAAGAATAAATCGTCAAAAAACCTGGACTTATTTATTAGATGCCCAGGTAATACCTTTCGTACTATTGGTGCCAGATGAACTTTTTTAAGCCGAGAAGTTTTTTAGGTTTAATATAATGCTGATCATGGAAATTTTGTGTTTACATGATAACATAACAATAATGAAAATGTAACTATACTTTTCATAAGTGGTATGAGTAAGTATAAATGAGGTAATAGGTGGAATATTTGGTGTCTCGTTATTTGGATGGATAATGAAAAAGAAGCAAATGCATTAAAATATTGCCATAGTTAAAGAAGAAAACAGCACATACCTGAATTAATTTTATTTGAAAATATAATCATTTATGCAAATAGAAACCGACATATTTTTGCTTTATCAAGAAATGTATTGAGTATACCATCTTTCTCCTCTGCGTAGAAGTTCTGCCTTGGTGGAGTCTATTCTATGTCTTGGTGGAGAAAGAATTTAATCTCCGGTGTACTTACGTTTTATAAAAGGCATAGTTTCATTTTATTCTTTACTTAGAAGTCTGCTCGCAGGGGAAGAAAAACAAAAGAGGCTTCTATTCTATTCTCGGATATTTTCGATCAAACGTATGACAATGCTTAGACAAACGACCTTCACGTACTTTGCTGACATGAAGTGGTCCAATTCAATCCATTATAAATTTGCTCGCCTTTGGAACAATTTTTAATCTATCGTTATAAAAAATGTATTAGTTAGAACGCTCGGTATTTCGCAAAATTGTAATAGAGCTACGGCCACAAATGCATAAAGATTACTGCTAAAGTATTCACTAGAGATGCAGACGAAAACAGAAAATACCTGTGCTAATTTTGCTATAAAATATATCAATGTTTATTTTAAACATGCAGAACATTAAAGGGTGTGCAATTGTTTTATAATGTATACATTGAGTAGAATATATTTTTTTCTCTGCACAGGTGTTCCGCCCCCTGCTGTGACTTGGTGGAGAGCGTCTACCCTTCTGGATGATACTTTTGAGACCCTTCCAGATGGAGTCGTTCGAAATGATTTGACAATACCGAGGTTACTCCGCTCTGATCTCTTAATGGTGCTTACTTGCAATTCTAACAACAACAATGCAACAGTTGCTGTAGCGACATCAGTGAAGATTAATTTAAATCGTAAGTATCCTCACAAGATTTTCTTTTAAATATTTATTGTTTGAATTGCATACATTTTGTCATCTAACCTCTGAAATATACTTCCGTTTACACTAAAAAATAATTTGGCTTTCGCGAAGCTGAAGATGACATGTGCTCCTTCTTAGTAACTGATTACATTGTGCTATCTTTCAACAAACCTAATTTTATCCTTCATTAACAAAACTATATTTCAACAGTATAGTTTAGCCTTAAACCTTTTATATTTCCGTTACCGTTACTCTGTTTGTGATTAATTTTATACAACGGCTGAACTTTCAATTGTTAAAGACTCTTCTTCTAAGCTTGCTGTTAAAAGAAATAACTTAAATTATGTTTGAAGTTATGACTTTATTTCATGACATAAATATTTTGAACTCAAAATCAATAGTAAAAGCGAAATTTAACTGCAAAGATCGTTTCACTATATGATTTTCTTTTATCTGCAGTTCATATTATCAGAAAAGAGTAAAGAGAATTCAGCTAAACAGCAATATATTCTAAGAAAATATACTCGTACAAACAACAAAGAACAAGCGAATCTTACAAAGAATACTTCAATTTTGTATTAAAAAAGTAAAAGAGCAGATCAAGAAATTAAATAATGCCTACTTCACCTAGAAATACCAGGAGTTTTCTTATACTATTGCCATTTGTAATAAAATATTTTAAAAAGAATTTCGCAATAACATTCCTAAATGTTTCAGTTTTTTGTTCATCCATTATTTTAAAGAAAATACTTGTTAATTTTTTCTGCAATAAAATACCGCCTGTGTTTGCAGATAATAACAATGAACTTCATATAAATTATTATTTATTCATAATGTCAAAACGTACCAGACGTCATTTGCAGTTTACACATTCTATATCAAAAGTTTAAACATGTTTTAATATCATTTTATGATTTTAGGAAGAAAAAAAATATAAGCAATTAGCTTATTTTGCTAAGCTTCTAGGTGAATAAGGATTATCTGAACTGCCAAAAATGCATACAGTGTACAAAAGAATAAACTATTTCCAAGGATATTTACTGACATGAGGATATATATAGGTAAAGTCTTCCTATGTGTAAAGTCTTACTTAGATTGCATACGAGTAAACTGTTTCATAATGAATTATGCATGAATAAGTAATAACAAGCCTGCATGATAAATAAAAGGTATATGCGAAGATGAATAATAATTTAAAGCTGTAGGTATAGTTAAAAGAAAAAATGAAACACGAATTTCATAAAAGCATTCAAATAGCTCAGAAAATGTGTCGGGAAAATATTTTCTCTTGAATAAAAATATCTATTTTTTTGAACGAATGCTTTTTCTTCCTTTTAGTGAAGCCCGTTGAAGTACGAATAACGTCCATCCGTCGACCCTTGTCAGCCGGGCGTCGAGCTGAATTGGAATGCATCTCGACGGGATCTCGGCCAGCAGCCCGCATTACGTGGTTGCTTGGCACGACGCAGCTGGCGAATACGTCGGAAAGTTTCTCTCCAGATCGCAACCGAACGACAAGCATTTTAAACTTCTGGCCAACTGGGGATCATAACAACAAGTATCTCAGCTGCAGAGCAGAAAATCCTATGCTTCCAGGACAGGCTGTGGAAGACGGCTGGACACTTAATGTATCATGTAAGCGTAGTATCTATTATCAGCTATGATGATGCAAATTTATGTAAATATTTGTTTGCTCTAATACGTCTCTCATATTAATAATTCGATAAAATGATATATTCAGAGCTATGAACTATAGAAATATATTGCCCTGCTTTTGTTAACTTAGTTTTTACCTTACTATTATTAAAAATGTGACCGAGATTACAAATTAATTAATTGTATTAAGGAAATGAATACTCTGTATATATTACTTACGTATATTTCAGTAAAAATTTATATATGTGTGGGATGGCATTGTTCATTATAATTGGATGACGCGACAAGCTGTGAGAATAAATCTTTTACTTTTCGATGATGGAAGTCGGACGATTCCGCCATTAAGACGATGACGCGACTGAAAGATGTTCACATGTAAAAGACAGTCGATTCTCTTCATCTGTATATATCATCTGTGAAAATTCATCTTTCTACACATTAATCATTTTGTAGTTTGTAGCGACCATTCATGTTTCCCTTAAATATTCAAGTTATTTGTAAATTGGACTAGTTTATTAGCCCCTAGACAGCCACAAAAGGAGTAAGTTTACAGACATAATATTCCTAGACAGTAAGTACCGATTCTACATATGTATGCATATTTCAGTGCTAAATGTAAATAATATTGGTTATTGGAGCGTGATAACTGATGGAAAGTATAAACAGCACTGCATAAACCCAATAGTTCAATTTGGGGTTTAAGTATACGGTACAGACAGGATTTGTCCGCATTATGATGAGCAACAAAAACACGGTATTTATGATGAGTAATACTAGAATTATTCTGTTGTCACCAACATTTTTTAAAATCGCACGGAAGCCGTATCGTATATTAGGATTTTACGCAATCTGGTACTGTTATCTTCTTATAATATTAGGCCATTTCATTTTTATATAATCAAGTACATATTTCATTATTATTATTCTGAGGTTGCCGTCCTTTTTAACTTTCTCTTGTTAGCATCACCTCTCCCGCCCTCGAACGACCTCTTAAGTGGTACGCTTCTCGGGCAAGGGAATTCGAGATCTTAGGTCGACGGAGTTTTATGATTATTTAAATAATTTTAATGCAAGGGATGATATAATAAATATTGACAGCGCAGCGCCGTGCGGTATGACGTGATCTGCTTATTATTGCTTTTAACTGGTTATTTTATTGACTCGCGAATTGGTTACAGGATATTTGTGCTCTATTACGCTATTTTATACCTTTTATTCCTAAATGTTATCTATACACGCAGCTTTTACACCTTGTTCTATTCTGGATTTTGGATAGCTATAGTTTCTTCAAATTAACCCATGAATGTCGTTATAGATAAGTACCAGGAATAATTGGTATCTGAATCTAAAAACTTTTTTTCAGACCTTATTATGGCCAACTTGGGTTTCAAAATCAAGAAAAGCTACATAGCCTGGTATTAATTAAGGAAAGTATGTTCTTCATTGAATGAACATCCTTATGTTTAATTTCTCGAAATTATTCGGGATATAAATTGAGCTGATTGGCATATACTTCAGGGAGGGGATATTAAAGGATGGACATGACTTTAAAAACAATACCTATTATTGGAAATATATATATATATATATATATATATACACATAATAGGTATTGTTTTTAATAATAATACATATTTTAATTTTTAATTCCTCATGATCCATTATTTGGCTGTAAACTGTTTTATCTGTCTATAAAATTTTTGTTTTTTAAATTTTTCCCTCCCTTTCTCTTTCATTTTTTAAATTTTCGATTGAAATTTAAATTACGGTTGCGATTTTTACTTCCTTGTACGAAGTAAAAAGGAAGTATTGTAATTTCGAAAAGTTTCAGGTAGCAACGAAAATATACATTTTGGCCGCTATCGAATGCAATTTAACGATGTTTTTGCGTAACATCTGTACGTAAGGACAGAATAAAAGACTCTTTTCCTCCAAAAAAATTATAAAACTGCTTTAAAATGAATTCTGAAGAGAATTTTTTTCGTGGCGTCTGTACGTATGTAGTGTATTTGTATCTCGCATATCCTCAAAAACGAGTAGCCTTAGAACGTTGAAAATTTGTGTATAGGTAACACTGCTTATAACATGCAGACGTGCACCTTCGTATTTTGGTTGCAATCGGCCGCATCCAAGGTACAGTAAATATATGTATATGTATATCTACTCTGCTACCCGTCTCAGTGAGCTCAGTTTCTTTACTCTTATATGTTTGTAAATTGTGCATTTTTTGCTTTAAAAATGATTGAATTATGTTGTTCTTATATTCCGGTTAAGGTTTTTATGCCTTTAGGAAATATGCAAGCAATATTTGTAGAATTATCAACAATTTAAAAGTTGTTTAAGTGCAATTTAGCCTAATTTTTAAATAACATGGCGGAGATATTTGTTGACATTTGAAACAGCAGAATAGTAGATTTATTGCCAATCTAGAAAGACTAAGCTTCGCAACAACAAAGATAACGCCTTCATTTATTATTGCGAATTAAATCGTGCTTAATCCTTTCTGGAATTTTTTCGAGGAAATAAGTGTTTAAGATTTACTTCGTAATTTTTAATACAGATATTTCGAGTTTTTATGCATTTTAGGTTTGTGGCTAAGTGAGAACTGAAAGAATTGAATGAGAAATACTGAATCGTCTGTGAAAAACTGTTTCTTTTTGTTTTATTTGCTTAATTTCTTTTGTACATCGTTTTAGATTTATTATTGTATTTGAATAGAACATGTGGCAACGATTAGATAATTCTTCAAATGATATAAATTTTGTGCATTCTGAATTATAATATGGACGAAATATAATGTGTTAAGTGAACCTTAACCAGAGTGTCGCTATGATAAAGAAATATAGTGAATTTTAAAGAGTGCATTTATTCTATTGTGGTTTATGAGCTATCGTCGAAGTAGATTTAATTCAATCCAATAAGTTTAAATGAAATGCAAAGCAAAATGCGTATAACTTAATATTCCGTAAGGACGTCATGTGGTATACACATCAGATGTTTTTTTTATTGTGGTACTTATCTATATATTCTTAAAAGTTATTAGACACTCGACAAAAACTAAGTACATATTTTTCTATTACTTTAAATATGCATATTTTATTGTCTAAAAAATATTAATAAAGTGTTATTGAAGTGTTTTCAATTCAAATAATGTTGGTTTTCAATTTATTTTAAAGTGTTTTCAATTTCAATTTATTTTGAATATTTTCAATCAAGTGTAATATTTCGTTGTTATTAAATGTTTGCGCGATGTTTTTATTCTACTTATTTGCTATAAAAGTAATAATTTAACTTTACATTAGTATTTTCTGTTGTAGTAAAAATATTTATTTAATGTCGTCTGCCGTCTTGAAAAATGAGGTTTTCAACAAAAAATTAATACATTACTTTCAACGGTATAGCAAATTTTTTAAGTTTTGAATATTTTGCTGTTCTTAAAAACGGCGTTTTTCAAGTTGGCAAGAGACTAAAAACAGCACCATCATACCGCTCCTACCAAAGTAGCAGCAAAAAAGTGGTGATCTCATTCTGTGGAATGAGTATGATGGGCTGCCGAAGACTACGGAGTTTGTTCGTAGCCATGGAATGAACACAGCTTTTAAATCGGAAGGGTTCAACTGCGGTCATTCCTAACTCTTAGGCTCTTAAGGAAGGCTAATAAGAGGGAATAATACCTGGTGATTTAATTTATTATTATGATGGTCTAGCGTTCCCCTTACGTTTCCGCTACCTACACTACAAAATAAGTAAAAATATAAGGTAACAACAAAATAAAGATTATATACAAAATCTGTACCTGTATTCTTATTTGTTCTGTATTAAATCTCTTTTATTTGATTATACTCATTCGTTACTAATTTTTATACATTTTTAATTACAGCGGCATTGTAATAATCAATAATTGCAATATATCAAATTACATTATGTACAGCAAACAAAGGTAAATTTAAAATTAGGCGGAAAATAAATCCTCTTCTTCAGGAGTAAATTTTGGTTCTCAAAGGATAGGGACCTGCATATTTTCGCCTTCGAAATCGGTAGATTTTTATTCAAAATCGATGCAGAAACCAAAGTTGCTTTCTTTGCTTATTTTTAAATGTTGTGAAATTTTGTCATGTAACGATATATAAGAACTACATTGTATTTCTCACATGACCTTATAAAGTATTTTCCTCATCCTTCCAGCAAGCCTTCGTAGTGTAACGGTAGCACACTCGGCTCGTATTCGAGAGGTGCCGGCGAAAGCATTGCACAATTTTCATTTCTCCTCCTTTTAAAAAAAAAACCTAATGTCTATACAATAGGTGCCTGAACTTTAGAACTGGTGGTGGACAGTAATTCGTCACCACCAGGATTTAGCAAATGGGTTTCATAATTCCAAGTGGCCGTTTAAAAGGAGAAGTATATAAGATATTTTCTCCTTCTTTTCAGCATGCCTTCGTAGTGTAACAGTAGCACACTGGGTATGTATTCGAGAGATCCAGGTTGGAGTCCTGGCGAGGGCTTTGTACGTTTTCACATCTTCTACTTCAAAATAATCTAATGACTCTAAAATCTTATAATCAAAATCCAGAGTTCAGCTATTTGGCGCAATGGCTATCTATAAATAAATTTATCTTTCAATGAAAGATATTCTCAATTTAATCTTTCTACTTAGAACCATAACTGCTTAGTAAACTGAACGCGTTTGAGGTAGATAGGGAATGTATATCGCGCTTTTGTAATAAATACTACCCAAGTTTGTTTCACTATTCTCAAACGATAATCTCTCTGATAATTCAAATGATATTCCTATTGATATTTATAATAATAACAGAGAAATTTTCTTTTTATCATGAAGAACATTAAGATATAATTCCCATATAGGTATTTATATATTTAGCAAATTTATGAAAACAGAAATAAAGAGACTAATAAAGACTCATACATGAAAGAAAAGAAAAGGACTACAATTAATCAGAATGAGCAGAACACACACA